CCCCCCCCAGTTTACTCTTCTCTTTGAAAAGTAAAAGAAAAATTCTTTCATTGTTTTACAATCCCTCCCCCCAAGTCCACTCCACAATGCAGCCTTTGTTCTGGACTCCTGCCTTGACAATAATACCTAATCACATATACCTTTTAAACAGTTCTCTCCCTCATCTGTTTCAATACAGTATACATTATTTAGCCCATCTTTCTCAGTTTCCCCCCAAACCCGATGTCAGTCCTGTTTTAAAACTATATTATTTTTATATTTTATTCATAGCTAAATTACAAAGCCCATATTCTTAAGGTAAAAAGAAAATATTAAAGTGCTTATTTTAACTTTTAAATAGTATAATTAAACATAGATATGGGTTTCCCCCCTAATTTAAATTGTGTTGATCGTTGATCCATCCAAATAAAACTCCACCTATCATGTATTCTATTGGCCCAGTGGTTGAAGACTTCTGTTTTCTTGATGTTGATATGTTATCCATATTGAAGGCTGTAGCCCTTGATCTTCTGAAGCAAGTGCCTCAAATCTTCACTTTCAGAAAGCAAGGTTGATTTCTTTGCATAAATCAGGGTATTAATGAGTGTTACTTCAATCTTGCTGCCACATTATTCTTCATAAAGTACAGCCTCTCAATTTATTTACTCAGCATACAGACTGAATAGGTATGGAGAAAGGATACAGCTCTGACACATACCTTTCTTGATTCTAGACTTTGCACAGTTTCTTTGCTCTCGTCAGAAAACAGTTTCCTTTCTTAGGTATAGATTTCTATACGAAAGATTATGTGTTCTGCAATTTCCATTCTTTTCAATGTTAGTCATAGCTTATTATGATTCACACATAACATTAACAAGTTATATTAAATGTTCCATTTATATGTGTGTGTGTGTGTGTGTGTGTGTATCCATGTAGTAAAATTTGCTGTGGTGCTGGAGAAGAGTATTGAGAGTACCATGGACTGCTAGGACAACAAACAGATTCAACCTAGAAAGGGTTAAACCAGGTGGCTCTTTGGAGGCAAGCGACTCGATGGCACATAACAACAACAACAATGGTACCTTGGACACTTTAAAAGAAGAAAAGAAAGTATTAACAAAACAAACAAATAAAATAACTTTTATGTTTGTTGGTATGCAATTAATGGATTAAACTCTAATTTTATGTTATTACCTAGTTAAGAATGGTCGTTTATTATAAGTAAAAAGATTCAAGTTTTTAAAGTAAAATTAAAATGCTAATTTATGTTTGTTGAAATTTTTTTATTGTAGTGTTATCTTTGTTGTTTTTGTTGCTTTGAACTACAAAGTGATCCTATGAACAACCATCTGAACCTGGCCCTATCTTGAACCATCCTAAAAACCTCTGCCATCATTGAGCCACTGTTTCAATCACTTTGTAAATACACCTTGTTGAGAGTGGATTTCTCATTCACTACCTTTCTCCCACCTCCATTCCCCAATGAAGGGCCTCTTCAGACAACATGCCCATTGTTGTTGTTGTTGTTACGTGCCATCAAGTTGCTTGCGATGCATAGCAACCTTATGTACAACAGACCTAAACTCTGCTCTGTCTTGTGCCAATCGTACTGTCTCCAGCACACCCATCCTGATTACCCCAGTCACTGAATCAATCCACCTCATAGAGTGCCTTTCTCTCCTGCGCTGTCCCTCCACCCTACCAAGCATGATTTCCCTCTCCAAGGACCGGTCCCTTCTTACAACATGTCCAAAGTATGTTAGATGGAGCCTCAGAATCCTTGCCTCCAAGGAGCCACCTAGTTTGACCCTTTCCAGGATGAATCTGTTTGTATTCCTAGCAGTCCATGGTACCCTCAATACTCTTCTCCAGCATCACAGCTCAAAGGCATCAATTCTCCTTCTATCCTCCCTAGTCATTGTTCAACTCACTGATGCACAAGTGATTGCAAAGATCATGGCCTGTATCAGACGCACCTTGGTCTCCAGAGAGATAACACTGCTCTTCAGTACTTTGGAGAGGTCCTTAACAGCAGACTTTCCCATCATAATATGCCTTTTACTTTCCTGGCTGCTGTTGCCAAGAGTGTTGACTGTGGAGCCAATCAAACTAAAACTGTAAACAATCTCAATCTCTTTACCATCCATCCAGATACTGCCAATTGGCCCAGTGGTGAGAATCTTTGTCTTCTTGACATTGAGCCTCAATCCATATTGGAGGCTGCAGTCCTTGACCCTCTGCAGCAGGTGCTTCAAATCCTCCTTAGTTTCAGCAAACAGGGTTGTATCATCTGCATAATGCAGACTCTTGATAGATCTTACATGCCCAATACTTAAGATTAATTTTTACTGTTCTTGCTCTAAAAAAAACATCCTGCTTACACTTCCTCCAAGATAGATTTGTTTATTCTTTTGACCACTGCTGTTAGATGTTATCACTCAAATATGACTCATAACAACCTCATGAACAACAGATATGAGCCCCATCCTACACTGTGCCATTTGCATCATCCCTGACACACATGAGCCCACTGCTTCAGTCACTGTGTCAATCTCTCTGGTTTTCCTGTTTTCATTGACCCTCTACCTTTCCAAGTCTAATGTTCTTTTTTAAGGAATAACCTTTCCCAATGATGTGCTCAAAGTTTGAGAGTCAAAGCTTTGTCATCTTTGCATCCAAGGAACACTCTGGCTGCATGTTCTCCAAGATACACTGGAGTGCTCTTCTCCAACTCCGTGGTTGAGCAGTATTAATTCTTCTCCTGTCATCTCATTCATTGTCCAGCTCTCAGAAGCAGAGCAAGAGATTGAAAGAATTATCAATCACCAAAGAATCATGTGCACCTTAGTATTCAAACTGAAAATCATTGGTCCTCAATAATTTGTAGAGGTAAGTGACTGGAATCTTTCCCATTACAATACATCCATTAGTCTCTTGACTACTGGTATGAAGGGTATTATTTATTGTAGCTCCAAGTCAGATGAATTCATTGACAGTCTAAATCTTTTCTCCATTTATTATGATGTTGCCTATCAGTTGAGTGGTGATAATTTTGGTTTCTTGACATTGAGATGTAATCCAGATCAAGACTGTATTAGCTTGATCTTTTGCAGGAAGTGCTTCAGTTACTTCTCAATTTCAACAAGTAAGGTTATGTCATATCCATAGTGAAGATTGCAGATTTTTCTTTCACTCATAATGGCACATTTTTCTTCATAGAATCCAACTTCTCAGATAATTTGCTCAGTATACAGATTGAATAGGTATATAGCGAGGATACAACCCTGATGTATACCTTTCTTAGCTGTAAACCATGTGGTGTTTCCTTCCTGTTTGCACAATAGCCTCTTGGTCTAGGTATAAATTTCACATGAACACAATTAGTATTCTAAGATTTCCATTCCTTTCAATGTTAGTCATAATTTTTATAATCCACAGTGTCAGATGCCTTTGCGTAGTACAAAAATTACAAATAGATATTCTTCTTGTAATTCAATGCTTTCAGCCAGGATGCCTCTGACATCAGCAATCATATCCCTTGTACCACAGCTTCTTCTAAACCCAGCTTGAACTTCTTACATTTTCTTTTCTGCTTGCTGTTGCTTTTGAATGATATTGAGTAATATTTTTGTTTGAGGGAGCTCTGATGGCCTAGTGGCAAAAAGCTACACTGCAATTTGGTTCAAGTTCACCAGTTGCTCTGTGGGAGAAAGACAGGAAATCTCCCATGAAAACCAGCCAGAAAGGTCAGCTATGGGTTGGTTCCGACTTGATAGTACACAACAACAATATTTTGTTTGCATGTGCTATCAATAATATTGTCCAATAAATTCCACATTCCGTTGGATCTCCCTTCTTGGGAATGGGAATAACTGAGGATCTCTTCCAGTCACTTTACCAGGAAGCTATGCTACAAATTTGCTGGCGTAGAGTGATGAGCATGTCACGGGTGCATCAGTTAATTTAAACATTTAAATCGGATGCTCATCGATTTGGGATGTTATTTTTTCAGAGAAGCTTGAACGTCTTCATTCATCACAATCGGTTGTTGATCATAGAGTTCTTCCTGAATATTTCTGTGTTGGACAATTCTTTTGGTTCAGTGATTGTGTGTATTTCCTCTATTCTTTCGATGTTTCCTGTTCATTCAAGATTTTGCCAAAGCATCTCTCAGTGTTGCAACTTGAGACTTAAATTTGTTTTTCAACTCTTTAAATTTGAGAAATGCAAAGTTCTTCCTATTTTATTTTCCAGTTCCAGCTCTCTTCACATTCTAATACTTTGCTATGTCTTCTAGAGATGCGCTTTGAAAACATCTGTTCATCTATTTTACTTCAACATCTCTTCCCCTTGTTTAATCTTCTTGACACTCTGGTGTAATTTTCAGAGTCTCTTCTGACGTCCATGTTCACTCTTTCTTTCTTCTCTTTCTTTGTAGTGATCATTTGCTCTCTTCATGGATGATAGCCTTGATGGTATTCCACAAGTCATCTGGTCTTCAATCATAGGTGTTTCATGCTTTAAACACATTCTTAAGATTATTTTTAAATTCAGGTGGGATAAACTCAAGATAGTATTTTG